TTTGAAGGAAAGGGATTTCTGAGTGAAAATATCCCCATCTTTATTTGAGAAATCCTTTTTTAATTGGAGTTAATGATATCAACGCTAAAATTCATATAATAGATCCAAATAATAATATTTCAGCATCGAATTTTTCTTGCATTATTTCGCTTCATTGTGAGAAACCTAAATTTCGCCCATCCTTGAACCATTTATTTTATAACCAGTTTTGAAGAAATTTTAATGGCCATTTAGGTAAATTCGGTAAGATAAAACGAATTTCTTTTTTATTACTCTTTTCTAATTTCAACATACTTTTGTTATTTCAGTTTTAAGTGTCATTAAATATTATAATTGTGATCAGGAATCTTGAAAATTCAACCGTGTCTTTACCGGGTATCGAATCAGATACTTTTCATTTGTTGGCAGGATATGCTGACACCTACACCAGATGGGTACATGGAGAAATGTCGGATTTTTTTCTGTTATAGACTAGATTAGTAATTTTTAAACATTTTCAACCCACAGAACCCTTAAAATTATTAGGGTTTTTTCAGGAAATCATGTTCCACCCTTAGAAAATATATTTTTAAAAATAAAGCTAAAAAGATAAAATCTGAAAGCTTTCAAATTTTATATTACACCCAAAGGGACTTTTTTAATGTTTTTTTGTGTTACCCTTATTGATTAAATATCATGTTCTTCGCGTTTAAACTACATAAAATTCAATTCAACAGCAATATCACAAAATGTTTAAAAACAGAACATCTTCAGAATTTCCGATAAACAGTCTCGCATGCTGGAGATGAAAATGTTATTTTTCGCACCACATTGCCATTGCTCGCTTTGAAATCGTTGAGTTTTTTAATCAAAAATTCGTTTTTTTTACAGAGGTTTACAAATTATGAAATAGATAATAAAACAAATTCGAATTCGGGGGTTCCGGTGCTTTTGTTCGAGTGAAGGATTACGTTACTCAAAATTTGTACGCTCTAGGGATCGTCATTTTTTCACAATGCGAGGTACGTACATACATCCATGCAAATTCTTCATTATTTAATTTCTTTCAATATAATACAGGGCGATAATATTCTAATAGTTATTTTCGCATTCTGTATTTAATTTGTTGCGATATTTTGCTTTTGTTGCCAAAGATGAAAAACATTTTTCATTAAATACGTTATACCGTTTCGTTTTCTTTCGATATGTATAAAATGCACGAAACCTCATAAAGACTATTAAAATTATCACTATATCTCTGTGGTAAGTATAAATGATGCCATCTTTTAACTTTTATTTGAGTCAAGTGTTCCTTCACGCTTGACTCAAATAAAAGTTAACAGATCGCATCATTCATATTTACAAAACCAGCAATTATGGATTAAATCAAAGCTAATGAATTAACTAAGAAAAGTAAGTTAGCTTATCGGCTGCATAACTAAAGTAACACGCAAGTTGGCCCTGACTTAGGTCGGTGTAACAAACCTTAACAGCGAGAATAACACAACGCCGTAAAATCCTGCTAGCAAGAGAATAAATTTAGCAACGGGGCCTTCAGCAGGCAGAATACACTCAGATTCTACTCTCTAAAAGCTTCCTTTAAATACGTAGGTTGGGGCAAAAGTCATGGCAACTTTTTTTTTTTCTTGAAGATACCAGTCCGGTTGGAAAATGTGACATATACAGATGAAAGCACAAGGTCTTAACTACATGTGTGAACAATGAATAGCACTGAAATATCGTAACACACGAATTTATTACGGTAATATACAGGGCAATATGGCCTTCACCGTGCAAAAGAATGATAACACAATACACATAAAGTTGACATGAGTCCTTGTAGTACCATGCGGTCACTGTTCTGCCATGAGAAACAAAGTGGCAAACAATGACACCCCTGACGTCATACGCGACGATCACCATCAATTTGACTGGGAAAGGATTCTGACGGACCTTCTGCTGCCTTGGTGATTCAGGATGTCGCCACTCCGAGGACTGATATTTCAGTTCTGGTTTGTATGCCCTGGCCCAAAATTAATAGATGGCGATTATTCGTGAAAAGAATTGATCGCCGTCCTGTTGCCAGCGTGCAAAGTGGTCGGAACATATTGCATAGCACACCCACCTTTGAACTTCTGTCAGTGCATGCGGTACCCACCGCGAAACGATTTTGCATAGCTGTAGCTCATTACGCAATTCCTGTGGACGGTGCGTTTCTCGATGACACTTACCCTCTCTAATTCCAGCAATGTCCATCGTCTGTCTTCATCCATGAACTGCTCGATGGTGGCACACTCACCGCTTGTCCCGAGCGTTGCTCATCACTGGTTGACACACGTCCTTGCTGAAACTTTCTTACCCACCGTGCTACTGTACGATATGGTAGGGCATTATTCCCAAGGGCTTCTACTAATTCACTGTGACATTCCATCGCGTTTCTTCCTCGGAGAACGGCTATTTTGATGTAAGCGCGCTGCTCAACACTGGTTATTTCCATCTCGCACGACACTCACCATCTGACTGCTTTCAGAACCCTCGCTACCACACAGCCAGCTATCACAGAGCCATCTGTTGTTCTGTATACACACTATGCAGAACTTTCACATGACACATATATGTTTTGTGATCCGTTCACATATCTACAAGAAAGAAATAGTTGTTATAATTTTTGCCCCAACCCTCGTATTATCTCCTTTCGACCTCATTTTAATATCACACAAGCTAAAATTTACATTCTGGCAAGAAAAGGGAAATGAGGACGGTAGGAAAGCTGATTAACAGAAAACAATCGGTTAAGCAACTAAACCGATGCCTTACAATACGTATTTCTCTGAATGGCATTAAAATATTTACAGCTGTATAAGAAACATTTGGGTATCTTGCCTAAACTTGCAACCAACAGGGGCTGCGCTTGCTTAAATTTAGATTTTAACGAGTGTATTAATATATCGATAAGTTGCTCCCTTTTAATCATCGTGAAACTATCTGATTTATCGCAATACTCTAATGGATTTTTCATCGTCATATTTAGTTTTTTTTTTTTTTTTTTTTTTTTTTTCTGGGGAATATTTTTTTTAGTTTTCTTCAATAGGAAAATGTGCACCATTGTATAATTTTTTTTAAATTATCATATAAATTTAATTCAATTTCCATGAAGAAACTGTTTAGTTTTGCAAAACATTCCTCGTCATTCTCTTTGATGTACGATGACCACATGTTAAGTTTGAAAACTAATCTGTAACAAAATCTATCTTGATACTTTTTAGTTAATAAATACTATTCAACTAGTGTGAGTTCTTTGTAGTTTTCCTTTCGAATTTTCATTTTGACTCGCGGAATACTGGGATTTGACTCAGGGAACCATGAGGCTCCGGAACACAGTTTGAAGACCACTGGGCTAGATAATTCGTACCAAATTGTTTCTTTAAGAAGCTATATACGCCAACTTGATATAACCAGCAAGAACACACGCCTTCGTCAGCACGTAATTTCGACTGCAGAAAAATATTTCTCAGCATACGAAATGTATCCTTCAAATTAGTATTTCAATAAGCAAAGAACGAAATAAAATAATGCATTTATAATGTCTTTCATTGGCAGTATTTAACTTTGAAAATGAGCGTTGTCATAAAGGGAAAAAAAGCACATTTAACTTAATGGCAGCCTACGAGCAATGTTCGTACATGTAATCTGTCTGCAGAAGGTTGTAGGGTTCCTCACTCCTTTCATCTAAAATGAACGTCGAGGAACCTAGTGAATAGTAAGCCTGATAACAACTGAACAAATCTGAACATAAGTGAACAATAAGCTTTATCTCTGAGATCAAACAATTAAAGATGTAGACTCGAGAGGAGTTAAAATAACCTTTTATTCACTCCCATAAGAATAACAGGTGACGGAGGACGGGGACGCCTGGCGTATAACATAGGTAAACAGGCATATGTTCCACGTCCTCACTATCTCGAAGAAGCAACTCGCTGGAGCCCCGTAAGGCTGCACCGGCAGTTTACATGTCCATACAGGAGCTAGATGTCAAGTAGTTTTTACATAGGACATCGTTAATAACACAGTAACTTAAAAAGAATATAAAGGATAGCATTAAAACACTAAAACACTCCTATAAGCTGAAACACATAGATTTACAAAATTAAACGTAAAAGCATAAAAACACACTCGTAATTACGTAACATAAAGACATAAAAACACACACGAGAATGCATATCATGACACATAGAATACATATGGAAACACGTAGAGCACATAAATGCAAATATTGCACACAGAAGAAACATATGAGACATAGTAAGGTGTGCGTAAAGCAGAAGCGCTATGCGGAAATATGCTCAGTTCCCATAATACATAATGTACATACTTTCATTAGGGCTTCTGTTGCATGATTTACATATTTCGTTGCATACACTACATTCGTGCATTGTACGGATATTATATATTTCGATTTACGATAACACATCATTCCATTGGGTGCCCGGTGCTTTACACAGATAAACATGTCAGTAACATTATTTCTGCTCGTTGCTGGCTATTGAAAGCCCCTACTCGAGCTTTAACTTAGAATAAGAAAATAAGAAACTAAATTATAATTAACTAAGGAGACTTAGCCGAACCTAAACACAATTATCTATTGCCCTTAATTTAAACTAGCCGGCGAACATCAAAAAGTATGTAATAATACAGGGGAGCGCAACAGCTTCAAGAGTGACTTAACCCAAACTACTACCGCACTACTAAGGATTCCTAGCACTCTCTACTGTAGTTGAAACTTCCTTAAATACTTATTCCAACTCATTTGCGTTCAACGCGATTCTAAAAACTCATTCTGGTTCAAACTCAAATGGCTTTAAAATTAAAATAAGTGTAATAAAATTAAAATATACCTAAGGGTCCGAAATGCCTTTAACATCTTAGAAGATTAGCATGCATTCTTGTTGATCTTGGTAGCTGCATGTTTAGTTTAACGTACTTATGTCGTTCTGTTTGCTATATTAATTTCTAATTTTCAGAAAAAAACTATGCTTATGTGGAAGAGTGTTTAAGGCACACGAGTACCTGAGCAAATCCTGCCCGAATCAATATAAACAAAGCTTGGAAATAGTACTCAAGATGTAAGATGGTTTATAATAAAATTATATAGAGATTTTTATACTAATATTTCTTTTTTTCTTTCTTTCTAATAATATAAAAAGTATTAAAATTTGTACTAGAAAATAGATAAAAGGAGAGACGCACCAAAAAGCCTTCGAGCTGGTACAATGAGCAATGGTGAGCAAGTGCGAAAAGACATACCAACAGTGCAAACGTACAATAAAAATTGCATAAAAAATACACAAATATACAACATAAGTAGGAAAAGAAACCAAATTAATAATACTTTAATCTTCCATAATAATTCTAGTACTGATAATAGCAATAGGCATAGAAATAATACTGAGAGTAGCAATAATTATGATTATAATGATGTTTTTCACATCAAAAAAATTATAATCGTAATTTAAATTCGCAGTTCAGTGTTATTACTATTTCTCTTTGACAATGAAAACTTTTAGCAAGATGGTAGTAAAAGGTTCTGAGCTTGACAATGCCAAGATCCTCATCAATAGAGTTATTACTTATGCACATTTGTCTGACAGTAGCATCAGCCTAAACCCACGAAATTCCTCGTGGCAAGGAGCGCAAGATACGCCTGTCGTTGGAGGTGTTCTGTGACTGGACTAAAAGATGCATTCTGAGCAAAGATCGTTGTATCATTAGCGCACATTTCAAGTGTAGTGTTGGGTGTGCGAGGAATGTTGTTCACGTAAATGTTGAAGAGAATGGGGCCCAGTAAGGATCCTTGTGGAACACCAACTGAAAAAACACGGTGAGTAGAGTTAGTGTTAGAGACAGGCACAACAAAGCGTCTACCTCCTGCCAGGTAGGATTTAATTATGGGTGTAATGTAATCTGGGGAGTTCAGATTGTGAATCTTGTATATGAATGCATCCATCCAAACTCGGTCGAACACTTTGGCTATATCTAAGAACAGCCCACCGGTGAATCTTTTATGATGTATCCCTTTTGAGATGTGCTCAACCAGCCAGTATAGTGGAAGGAGGACGACTGGTTTCTTTCTAAAACCAAACTGGTGGGAAATCAGTATAATACTTCTGTCCAGGTGGTCTTGCATTCTTTTAAGGATCGCTGGTTCGACAGTTTGACTTAGACCCGTGAGTAGAATAATCGGCGGGGGGGACCCCGGCTAGCAGAGCTGGTTTTTTGGTATAAGAGTAATGCGGGACGTTTTCCGCATAGAAGGAAAATACTGCCGAAGTAGAATAATGTTGAAAATATTCGTGAGTTTGAAAATCATTTAAGTGGCAACATCTTGATCATCTTCTTGGTAACCAGATCAATCCTAGGGCTCTTCTTAGGTTTTAGATTCTTCATATAGCCAATAATCTCCGACCAGCCGGATTGAAATGATATTGTTAACGAGTAGGTTTGCTGTTCAATCGGGGTGAAAAGAAAAAAACTACAAATTAAAAAATACATTACACCGAAAAAATCAAATTTGGTTTAATGTAATGTTAAAAAAAAATGAATTTTTATAGTAAAGCTTTATAAGAAATTGCAAATGCTAGCATAATATTAATCTGAAACGAATGGTTTTTATGATTAGGGTTAAGCTGATAAACATTATATGAAATATGAGTTAATACGCTAAATAACGATTATTGGAGGTGCTAAGGCAACAATAATCAGTGTAATAAATTTGTAGAATTAGTTTTGAAGGTTTAAATGTAGAACCTTCTTTGTAGGTTCAGGAGTGCAAACGATGAAAAAGAATCCCTGTGCTTAAGCAATAACAATGTGAGAAAGGAAATAAAGTTACATGCATCATCTATTGATAAAAAAAAATGAAAACAGCTACGAAATAATTTCCTTAAAAGCTGAGGGTAAAGATATAATGGAACTGGGATCATTAACTAGAACTGTAAGGATTTTATAAAAGTGGAATGCATCTAGAAACTCTAGGTCGCCAAAGGAAAATGTTTTTGTATAATTTTGGCTGCAGAAAGAAGGAAATTTTGATATTTTTATCAACAATATTAAATCACATTGCATACGTGGTTTAATTCGAAAAATGACATTTACCATTTTTCTGCAGACAAATGCAAAAAATACCTTCATTTGGCGAAGACTTCCTATATGTGTTCCATATTCATAAAAATCTTTCGTTTTTAGTAGTAATCCAAATCCAATCGGTCTTTGCCTCAGCCTCGAGAAAAATTATTCCATTGCTCTTTTCATTTAGCATCAATATACAGCGCCAGTAGCTTTACTTCTTTCATCTCACTGTGATGGCCTTCTCTTTCGTCATTTGCACTTCTGCAGCTGAGGAAGCTTCTAAATTTAAACCTTCGAAACAAGTCCTGCAAATTTACGAATATTACGTTGGTTCTTGTCACCTTATATTATTAAATTATAAATTCCAATAATTTTGTGAAATTACATATTATAAAATTCCAATCATGTTATGAAAATTAAGTACCAATTGTGACTGATATTTAAATAAATACAATATCAATTCATGTTATCAAAATTATATTGCATTTCCTTTTATTTCTGGCGATGGTTAATTAGTTAAACTGATTGCAAAGAAATGGTTTTAAGAAACTTCAATGGGAAATGTCAGCATACATTTAAACTTACTGATTAAATTTTAATTGCACAGTAAAATATATCAGTACCTGGAGAAAATATATTAAGAGTTTATCTAATTGTTTCTGCTATCGCTGATGGTGAGCATTCTTTAGTCTAACAAATGGCAATTTTTCTCTCACTTTTGCTCTCAATCTTTCCTCCAGTTACGTGTTTTATAAGTCATCTTGTCTGATTTCCTTTTGTACAAACACGACACTACCTTTACTTTAATACCATAAAATATAGTATGGAACGCAAACAAAATAGTACTAGACAATGAAGAAATTGATGATAAATGAGTTTCCTTCGAGTCACATAGAAGAACTGCTAAAAAAAGGGTCTTAGAAGAGTTAGCTGAGCAGCCTAAAAAGAGACGAAAATACTGTGGAAAAGTGGACGCAGCTGACTAGAACTCTTGCATAGAAATAAATACAAGAAGCTCCTTATTCTTGTTAATAAATGTATTTGATTCCTGAATAAGGTTGCCTTAAAACTGGTGGCTATTTTATATACAAGTTTTTTCAATAAATATGTGTTAAAAGGACTTTTAAATTAGGGAAAATTGGAGGAACTCGCGAAGAATAACGCAGCTTAAATAGATCTGGAGAGTGTAACAGTGCTAATTCATAAATTCGCAAACTGTACATAGTTTTAGTGCTATATGTGTTAATAATTGCATGTGAAAATATACCAAAATATGTTACAAAAATAAATGTCTTCTTAAGCATCACATAAAAGGTTATTTTGTATAGATACGTAAAGGTAAGACATTGAAAATATATATTTTATTGATTATAGAAATGGGTGAAATGTTTGTAATAATTATCTATTAAACATGTTCATAAATAAAATCTTTGTAAAAAGATATTGATTTTAAATAGTTCATTTTGATAACAAGTATACTGCATTAATTTGAAAAATAAAACAAAGATATGAAATGTAGTAACAGAATTTTTGAGTTTGCCAAGCAACTTGAATAATATAAATAAATTCTCTGCCAGCAAAACGGAACGTAGAATTATCAAGATATTGGAAATATAGATGGATATATAATATAACAATACCGAAAAATATATTAATATATAGTATATATGTATATATAAATGTAATATAGACATTTGTAACTTCAAAGCTCATCATTTTGGTACTCGGTGCTATCAAGTTGTACACCACACAAAAAAAAAAAAAAAAAAAAAAAAAAAAAATAGTACAGTTCTATATCTCCCGTTCTACTGGGCCGATTGAGAAAATTCAAATTGCATTTTTCATGTCTCGAAAGCGCGACTTAGAATATATATTAGATTTATATATAGCATTGTTCTAACATAGGTATTTTGACACAAAATTGGACCTTTTCTGAAATAACATACCAATTTTTTTCCATATTTCGATTCTACAACTCAAATTATGCCTAGATATTTTCTAAAATTTGGTGCGAAATTTACGGCGAAATTCAAAAATTTATCTTGGCGCAATTTTTTCAGTTTTCGCCAAGAATAATTCACTTGGCGAACTTCTTAATATATGGCAGCCAATTTTCCTTTCCCTTCAATTATGCCGGAGCGGAAAAAAAAGGCACCTCGTTTCTACCTTTTTACATTGTGCCTAAACGGAAAAAAAGTCAAACGTCTCATTGTTCCTATTTTCAAATAATTTTAGCAAAGTGTCTAAAGCACATTTGATATTTTATCGTATTCAAAAACAATGCCAAATTTCAAAACGCGCCTGTTTTGTATTAGGTGAGAAATAGTAGGCGACAGAGGAGAATCTTGCCTAATAGCGCATGCGCCACCAGAATTGGCGCTGAAATGTATATTCTGTGAGAAACTTTATTTTTGTTGTACATTCGAAGTTGGATTCATATGTTACGTTGTAAGAAAGAAACCTAGCGCCAAAGTGTCGCTATGGAAAATAAACGCATTGAAAGTTTGAGCGTGTTATTTTCTGTAATCTGTGTGTGTTATTTTATTGTGATATATATAGCTACCGACGGGAAATAGAATAATTCAATTCAAGTTTCTTTGATCCTTCGAGCCAGAGCAGCTAGTGAAGTTCATGAGACTGTGATATTACTTTTGGTTTTGTGAAACGAAGGATTACTTAGGATACTTCCAGATGGAAGTTCTGTAGAAACAAAAGGCTAAGTACCATCCGCCCTTTTTGAAGCTCGTTTTACCTTTTTATTTGTTTATTGACATTTGCTAATTAATCTGTCATTAAAGGAGATATTAGCTCAAAAACCATACATTAAAAACACATTTAACAAAGTTAAAACAAAAAGTAGCTGACGAAAATGTATAAAGAAGTGACTTGCAAGTACTGAAGAATAAATTTAAAGTGCTTGAGACAAATTCTAATTTCGATTCTTTATTTGGGTTATGTACGGAAATACTGAAAATATTGATGCTTATGTGCTTACGTAAAAGAGAAAGAAGAGATTGACGATATTCTCTTAGATGTAGAAGCCGAATTAAATCATAAATTAATTAAACTTTCCAAAGAAAATAAATCGGAGCCTTATGTTTGCACGAATACTGAGAACAATGTTAAATTACCCAAAATTACTTTGCCAACGTTTTCGGGTAACTTACATGAGTGGCTTTCATTTAAAGATATCTTTTTAGCCAGTGTTGATTCAAATCCTAATTTAACAGATGCAGTCAAATTACAGTACTTAAAATCTGCGCTAAGAGGAGATGCTTATCGTATTGTGCAGTCAATATCCATAGTTGACTCTAATTATAAATCAGCCTTTTCATTACTAGAAGAAAGGTTCTCTAATCACCGCGAACAAGTGTATGCTCATCTGAGACGATTTATGAATTTGCATCCTATGCAAAATGAGTCTGCGTCAGCAATATTAAACTTAATTGACATTACAAATGATTGCGTGAGATCATTAGAAGTTTTAAATCAGAGTGTTAACGGTTTTTCTTCCAATGTATTTCCATACATTTTACGGCAAAAATTAGATAACAACATCAAAATATGGTGGGAAAGAAAATTAGAGAAAGAGAATTTGCCTAATTTAACAGATCTTATAGAATTTCTTAAAGATCATGCAAGAACTCTCAACGCTTCAAACAGTGTGACTAACACAAAAAATGTTACACATAGTGTGTGTGTGATTATGGCAAAGCCTCGAGGTCTATCTGCCTAAGGGGAGGGATGCCTTCGTGGAGGACTTTCTAAGGGAAACTGGCTCCTATACACGTTACACATGGGGAAAACCACGAAAACGCCCAAGCAGCCAACCCGTTCGCGGGATTCGAACCTCGGACCGAACTACCAGTGTTCAGCGACTTTACCGCTCGGCCGCTGGTGGGCCCTGTTACACATAGAGTTACCGCTTTTACACATAGAGTTGTTTCTAATGCAAATGAAAAACATATGCAGAATTCGTGTAGGTTATGTAATTTGAGCAATCACAAGCTTTTTAATTGTCCTAAATTTCAGAAATTAAGTGTAAAAGAAAGGGTAGAATTTGTGAAAAAGCAGAATTTATGTTTTTGTTGTTTTAATTTGCACAGTGTGAGAAATTGCCGTTCTAATTACTTGTGCAAGAAGTGTAAGAAAAAACATAGCTTTCTCTTGTGTTATCAAAACGAAAATAATTCCGTTGGCACCACAGTAGAAAGAGCAGACACTTCAGATCAGGAGTTGGGTGATCAAAACAGCAATGCGTTAAATGTATATGCACCTGCATTTCAAGCTAAAACTCAAAACGAAACCTTTACAGCCGCTACGGGTACTAACAGTGGGAAAAACGTGATTTTATCTACTGCCTTTGTATTCATTGAGACTAACGATGGAACTTTAATTTTAATTAAGGTGAAAGCATTATGTGATAGTGGAAATGTTTCTTGTTTTTGTACTACTGAATTAGCGAATACACTTAATTTAAAAAGGGAAAAGACAAATATTTCGGTTTGCAGTATATCAGGTATTTCAACTACGATAAAAAGAAAAGCAGTTGCCCTTATCTGTAATCAGGAACAAACGTATAAAAGGAAACTAGAGGTTTTGGTAATTCCAAAAATAGCAGGTTTAACTCCCGCAAAGTTTATCGATGTTAGTAACCTTGTGATTCCTGAAAAGGTGAATTTAGCGTATCCGGAATTTTATATAGCAGAGAAAGTAAACCTGTTGCTCGGCGTCGAAGTTTTTTATGATATGTTACGATCAGGTAAAATTTATGTTCCTAACATAGGCTTGATATTACAAAATAGCGTGTTCGGATATATAGTTAGTGGAAATATAAATGATTCACGGAGAAATAATTTATTGTCTTGTGGGTTAGTAAATGATATTTCAGAGAGTGAATTGAAAATGTTTTTCGAACTAGAAGCATTAGAAATTAAAGATGATCCTTATTGTCATGAGAAAGACAAAGCATTGGAAATATTTAATAAGACAGTTTGTTTTAAAGCTGGTCCCTACGAGGTTACTTTATCTTGGAAAAGGGACTGGAGGGAATTAGCTGATAATTACCGAGTAGCGGAAAATAGATTAAAAACTCTTGTAAAGCGAATGAATTATGACAAAACACTGTTTTCTACATATAGTGAAATATTAGATGATTATCTCAAGCAAGGCATCATTGAAAGAGTCTTAAGATGGAAACATACCTATCGGTAAATCAGTGTTTTACATACCACACCAACCGGCATTTAGAGAAACCAGTGCTTCAACGAAGATTAGAATAGTGTTTGATGGCAGCTCACATGAGTTCGGGCAGCTATCACTGAACGATTGTCTATGGACAGGGACAAATTTAAATCCTAATATGTTCCATCTGCTAATTAATTTCCGATTAAATAAAGTTGCAATTTCAGCGTATGTAGAAAAAGCATTTTTGCAGATTGCTTTGGCAGAAAAGGATCAAGACGCAGTGCGATTCCTGTTTGTGGAAAACACACAATTAAATGATCTAAAACTAGCGACATATAGATTCAAGCGCGTAAATTTTGGGATTAAGTCAAGTCCGTTTTTGTTGGCTGCAACAATTAAAGAACACATTAGAAAATATCGAAGTGAGCAGCCAAATGTATTTGAAATATTGAATTCTTGTGTTTATGTTGATGATTTTATTACTGGACAGGACAGTATAGATGAGGCTCTAAGCTTATCGCGTAAAGCTAAACAAATTATGAGTGCAGCAAATATGAACTTGCGTAAATGGGTATCCAGTGATCCTGAGCTGATGAAAAAATGGGAAAAAGAAGAGTTCGAGATCAACCCACATAAAATGAATGACTCAAACGAGACACTTAGATCTTGGGAATATCTTGGGATACTAATGAAGACAGTCTGAGTATAGACCCCAGACAGTTTGATGGAATTCCTTAAGAATAAGCGTAATACGAAACGGTTCATCTTTGAAAACTGCCGGGAAGATTTTTGATCCCTTTGGTTAATAACTCCATTTACTGTTAGACTTAAATTCTTGCTACAAGAACTTTGGGTTCGAAAATTGACATGGGATGATGAACTACCTACAGATATCTGTCAAGAGTGGGCAAAGTGGTGCTGTGAGTGTCATCATCTAAGTAAAATTGCAGTTCCAAGATTCATTTTGAATCCCGAAGCCGATTCCATAGAGATCCATTGCTTTTCAGATGCCTAGTCAGAGGGCGTACGGTACTGTTGTCTACGTAAAACTGCGTAAGCAAGAAGAAATTTCTGTGAGTTTCGTCGCATCAAAATGTCGTGTTGCACCTGTGAAAAGAATTACGTTACCTCGTCTTGAATTACTTGGTGCATTACTAGCAGCGCGTTTAGGTTCTGGAGTGAAAAAATTGCTCGATCAAAAGAAATCCTCGAGAATATTTTATTGGACTGATGCCAAAATAGTGCTATGCTGGATTAAAGGTACCAGTACCAAATGGAAATCTTTCATCGCCAACAGAGTTAACGAGATTAGGAAGTTAACACAGCCGACAGAGTGGTTCTATTGTTCAACAAAAGAGAACCCAGCAGATGTTATGACGCGTGGTGTTCAAATTGACTTTCTTGTGAACTGTTCCAAATGGTGGTCATGCTGTGACTTTCTAACATGCTCAGAGATTCCTCATCAGGACTTAACATTTGAGGTAGATGAAGAAGTGTGTCCAAATAAACTTAAAAAGGACAATGAACTGCATGACGATTCTAACTTAGTTTTAATTACATGTGATGAACCAAACCTCTTTAATGATATTCTTAATTTGTCTTCTAATTATACTAAACTTATTCGTATTGTAAGTTTCATTTTCAGGTTTATCCATAATCTTAAGAGCCCTCAGGTAAGGAGGTACGGAGTAGATAGATAAAGGATGCTGAGGAAGAAGATTTAGAAGAGATAAAGGACGCTGAGGTGTATATTTTATTAGAGGCCCAAAAAAGTAAGTTTCAAGAAGAAATAAATCAATTTTAAAGAGGTAAGTGTGTAAACTTAAAATCTGCGCTAAGAGGAGATGCTTATCGTATTGTGCAGTCAATATCCATAGTTGACTGTAATTATAAATTAGCCTTTTCATTACTAGAAGAAAGGTTCTCTAATCACCGCGAACAAGTGTATGCTCATCTGAAACGATTTATGAATATGCATCCTATGCAAAATGAATCTGCGTCAGCAATATTAAACTTAATTGACATTACAAATGAATGCGTGAGATCATTAGAAGTTTTAAATCAGAGTGTTAAAGGATTTTCTTCCAATGTATTTGCATACATTTTAGGGTAAAAATTAGATACTAACACCAAAATATGGTGTGAAAGAAATTTAAAGAAAGAAAATTTGCCTAATTTAACAGATCTAATAGAATTTCTTAAAGATCATGCAAGAACTCTCAACGTTTCAAATAGTGTGACTAACACAAAAAAACGTTGCACATAGAGTTTCTAATGCAAATGAAAAACATATACAGAATTCGTGTAGATTATGTAATTTGATCAATCACAAGCTTTTTAATCGTCCTATCTTTCAGAAATTAAGTGTAAAAGAAAGGGTAGAATTTGTGAAAAAAACATAATTTATTTTTTTTTTTTTTTTTGTTTTAATTTGCACAGTGTGAGAAATTGATATTTTAATTTCTTGTGCAGGAATCGTAAGAAAAAACATAGCTTTCTCTTATGTTATCAAAACGAACATAATTCCGTTGGTACCACTGGTACTACAATAGAAAGAGCAGTCACTTAAGATCAGCAGTTGGCTGATCAAAACAGCAATGCAAACCTGCATTTCAAGCTAAAACTCAAAACGAAACCTTTACAGCCGCTACGAGTACTAACAGTGGGAAAACGTGATATTATCTACAGTCTTTGTATTCATTGAGACTAAGGATGGAACTTTAATTAAGGTGAAAGCGTTATTTGATAGTGGAAGTGTTTCTTGTTTTTGTACTGCTGAATTAGCGAATATACTTAATTTAAAAAGGGAAAAGACAAATCTTTCGGTTTGCAGTATATCAGGTATTTCAACAACGATAAAAAGAAAAGCAGTTGCCCTTATCTGTAATCAGGAACAAACGTATAAAAGGAAACTAGAGGTTTTGGTAATTCCAAAAATAGCAGGTTTAACTCCCGCAAAGTTTATCGATGTTAGTAAGCTTGTGATTCCTGAGAAGGTAAATTTAGCACATCCGGAATTTTATAAACCAGAAAAGTAGACTTGTTGCTCGGCGCGAAAGTTTTTTATGATATGTTACAAGCTGGTAAAATCTATGTTCCTCACACAGGCTTGGTATTACAAAATAGTGTGTTTGGATATAGTTAGTAGAAATATAAATGATTCACGGAGAATTAATTTATCGTATTGTGGGTTAATAAATGATAATTCAGAGAGGGGAATTGAAAATGTTTTTCGAACTACAATTATTAGGAATTAAAGATGATCCTTATTGTCATGAGGAAGACAAAGCAACGGAAATATTTAATAAGGCAGTTTTGTTTTAAAGCTGTTCGCTACGAGGTTACTTTTCCAAGGTTTAAAACCTTGGAAAAGGGACTGGAGTGAATTAGTTGATAATTACCAAGTAGCGGAAAATAGTTTAAAAATTCTTGCAAAGTGAAATAATTATGCAAAACAGCGTCAATATATAAATTCACGCATACCTTCGGAAATTTTGAATAAAACACTGTAATTTTTTGCAGGTAATGCTTAGAAATCCTTCTACTTTAAGAGGATGATAAAAAGTTTATAAATTATAATTCAAAAGTTTTTTGAAAAATTTTTAAAAATTATTTGAAAATACAAATTTTAAAAATAAATCATAAAAAATGGGTGAATTTTATTTTGAATGAACCTGAATTTCGAAATGTGAAAGGAAGAATCAGAGTTTAATAAAAAAAAAAGAGAGAATAATAAATGTATACCAAACTCAATTAATATTGAGGAGCTAAATTTTTGAGAGCTACTTTTTTAAAAACTACTCGTGCGATTTTTACAAAACTTGGTAGTTTGGCATAATTTGAGTCATAGAACGGACATATGGAACAAAATTGGTATGTTATTTCAGAAAATGTCCGATTTTATGTCAAAATACCTATCTTAGAACAATGTTATATATAAATCTAATACATATTCTAAGTCAAGCTTTCGTGAACTTTCGTGAATTCTAAGTCAACTTGCGTGGAAAACGCAAGTTGAATTTCGTCAATCGACCCAGTAGAACGAGGGATATATAACTGTCTCCCCATTTTTTTTCGCAGTGTACATATAATATTCGAAGGTTATTTTTTCATTATTATTATTATTATTCCATGGAAAACATTACTAATGTAATTACCTAGACAGATAGACAATTCACTTTGCAAATGGTGGACGCTACCTTCAGTATAGTAAAGTAAGTATAATACAGCACTGCAAATGTAATTTCTCTTTCTGATTTTCTTACTAACATTTCGTTTTCTCTAGCTTATTTCATTGCACGATATTGTATATGAAATATATAGCATACAAAATAGATACTAATTTTATGAGGTATTTACTTCCTCCTTTCTGCAAGGCTTCGTGGTGTAACGATAGCACACTCAGCGAGTATTCAAGAGGTCCAGGTTCGAGTCCCGGTGAGGGCATTGCACATATTTCACGTCTCCTGGTTCAAAAATGCTAATGACTCTACAATTTCTTATTCATGTTTATTTATATAGTTTCCGAACAAAACTAGGCTTTCAATAGTTAAATGTAAACTAAACATTGTAGTGTATTTTTGACCTTAAAAAGACCTGATTGCATTGTTGAAAGCTCAACGAGCCGATTCGTGTGAGCTTATACTTTACTGTAAGCACTCATATAATGTTAGCTTTTGTGTTGGAAAAACTACATATTGTACAATTTTTCCCATATAATTTAGATTTATAAAATCGCACAAACTGGTTTTTTTAAATTAATCTTAATTTCGTTCTATAACACCTGCGTAGTTCAAAGAATTAAGGCATTCTTTTCGTATGCTTCCGTGACATAACGGATTAGCGTATTCATGCCACATTCTCAAAGGACCCCTTTCGAATCCAGACAAAGTGACTGATGATATTGCCATTGCTACTCTCTTCAAAATTATTCTTTTTCTATACCATTATTTAATGTTTTAATTTAGATTCTACATTAATTGCCTTACAGCTGTAATACATATAACCCAATAGATTGAGAAATAGCT